AATATAAAAAAAACATAAAATGCAAAAAAAATCTTTTAAAAAATTTTTCTAAAAGAAAAAAGCGAAGAAAACTTTGTTTTGACAATTTTTGTTTCAACTTTTATTTTCAAGCTTGGGGCAAAAGATATTTGATTGCGGGCAAACAATTAATGGAAAAATAATTATTCGAGAGAGGTTGTGGAGCAGTGCAACATTGATACAAGCATTTACATAAACTTAGAGACAACAGCAACGACAGGAAGCAGAAATGTTATACAAACTGATAACATTTCTTTTGACATTGGGAGTTGGCACGATGAGTGCCCAAAAGAGTGAGTAATATCCTATGAATAACACGACAAACTTTTAATATAGTCAAAAATGAGTCATCAGGATGATTAAAAAGCAAATAACTTTAAACTAGCATTAATAAAATTATTTAAAAGCAGCATTGCCAGTAGAATTCCATGATTTGAAAATTAAACTTTTTGATGCTTGAGTTATTATTGTCGTCCACTTTAGAAATTCTAAAATACCCGTCTAGTACATAAAGCGACAATGGAGAGCGGAAAAAAGATGAGAAATTGCTTTCGATAAAATTAAAGTGCAGAAAAATCCTCACTGCGGTCGACAGACACAAAAAAAAAATTGAACTCAAGTGGGGCTTGAGGATTCATTTAATGGTTTGTGTCTTTCTTCCCTTCGCGAACATACGCCCCCGCAGTGGGAGTCATAATTTTGCGCTTTTTTTAACTATGTCATAATAAATAATTTTCTCTCATAAATTTTCCATTTCTCAGTGGGTGGTAGGGATGCGATGCTTGGGATGAATCATCATTTAGAAGCACCACCAAAGTTGAGTCAAATTTCAAAAGTGCTTTCAATAATTTTCATGAATTATTTATATGTTGCAAAAAGTTGCGATTCATATTTACTCAAAACTCGGAAAAACTTTGTTGAACGTTAGGCATTCGTGTGGTTTATATTTTTTAAACTGTTCATACTTCATAGGAAAAGAAATTTAAGAATGAGAAAGAAGTTGAAGAGCTTTTATTTAGTCCGGAAAAGTCTCGTAAATCACAACTTTTCATTGTTCCTTATCGGATATTTATGCTAATGAGAGCTAATGGTTAATCTGGTTAATGGATTCCTTTTTCTATTTCGTACGAACTGAGATTTTCTTAAGATATTTAAGGTCATAATGGATTTAACTTTGGCGTCAGGAGCGTTTTAAATTAAATATTTTACTCTCTTTTATAAATGGAAATTTCTTATTTAAAAATCTAATGACCATGAGTTTAGTAATCCCAAAAATATCACTTTAAAAATTCTGAACTTAGTAAAGGTTCAACATAAGCTTTTAGAAGCTCCATTAGAGCTTTACGAAGATTATTAAAAATTTACAAACTTTATGCGACACTTGCAATTTGCATAGGAAGTTTATTTAAGAGAAAAGTGTTTTTAACCCTAATTTCAAAAGAACTTTTTTAAGTACAACATGTTGGACATAAATCAATGCTAATTTATGTTCAGATATGAATTTTTAATAGAGTTTTGTTAGGAAACAAAAGTTTTTGATATCAGGAATCTGTTAATTGCTTTTAGTTGAAAAAAGTATTCAACATTTAATTGGTTTGAATAATGACATCACAAATAAATGTAAATAATTCAACCAATATATCAATCAAAACCAATCAAACAGGCACTTCATTGCACATTTTTCAAGCATCTTTTAATGGCATGAAAGTTTTCATCATGTTAACAACCGAAAAAGTGTTTAAATTGTCAGCAGTTGACATTCAGTCGAAATTGTTTTCATGTAGATGAAAAAGAGTGCAACCTATTAAGTAATTAACGTTTTTAAAATGCTACAATTGTGTGTAATGAATGATAGAAAGTATTCATCTCACTGTAAAATTTAGCTTAACAATGAACAATACATAAAGGATAATGAAGTTTATAAAGAGACAATAAGTAAATCTAAAAGCAATTCAGAGTGTTGATGATTAGTGACACTTTGAGGTTGCCATTGTTATCACTTATCATAGAAACCAGATTTCCTTACTTCATTCAACAACTGATAACATAAATATTTTATTGAACTTGTTTTCTCTTTTATAAGACATCATTCTATTTATAACAAAAGATGGGAACGAAAGACAAGAAGCTTTCAAACTGCAATTAAAAGTTCCGACAAATGCCTACTAAATATGAAGATAAGAAATATTTCCTTTCGAACAAAATATCTGACATAGCCTGATGATTCATCAAGTAAAAGACAATAGAAATGAATGGGACTTTACATTTTATCCCTTTTCTCTTATCAGTTTCAGGTCCGCAACATAACAAAACTGTGGTGTGCTATATCTCGACATGGGCGGTTTATCGACCTGACCGTGGAAGTTTCAACATCGACAATTTTGATCCAAATTTATGTACAATAGCCATTTATGCATTTGCTGGCTTGGATCCAGTTAATGACGCCATTCGATCGCTTGGTGAGTTCATTGGATTAATTAGATTTTGTGTTCTTCTCATAACTACGAGTGATGGCTTATTATTACGAATGGGTACGCCATTGGACACTCGTTGTTTTCAAGACAAATATGTGGAATGTCATTATTTTCTAATAACAATATCCGCTATGTATCTATATCAGAGATTATTGCCAACATTTGTTTAAAGTGTATCCCTTATGGCATTGCCTTCAATTAATTATTGAACATTCAAAATTTTAGTAGGGGGATTTCATCCCAAGCCAACAATTGGCTTCATTTGCATTTGACTTTTCATTTTTCATCCGGTAGCGAAAATTTCACAATGAAATATCTCCCTCGTTCTCTATATAAATTCATATAATCTATGTCGATACATAGATATTGATTAGTTATGTTCATAGGAATGAAAATATTTATCTTTAGCACTTTGCAACATTGCATATTTAATAAAAATAACAGAACACCAAACTATATTCTCCTTATTGACAGTGGGAGTGAAGACTGACAAGTTAGATTTGTAAATTGATCCGTTTCAACATAAATAATTCAAATTGTTGATTGATACAAAAAATTTATAACAAACGAAAAATTTCAAGTTTCAAATGTTGGATGTCAATATTTGATTTTTTTCTGAAATTCTTGTATTTTGCGAAGTTTGTTTCCAATTTTATTCTCCAATTACACAGGTTTCCTCTACCAGTTAAACTCTCCTAACGCATTGAAACGAACAGAGTAAAGAATCGTCAAATGGTGGTTTAAATGGATTAAAAAATATTAATTGAGGCAATCGTTGAATAATTCCTTACTCAATTTTTTTCTCTCTTTGCATTCCACTATGGATTTGATGTTTAATTTACTGTGTGCTTAAATATCGACACTCAAAATTGATGAGGCTTGAATATCAATTCCTGGCGTTCGTGAATTAAGCATGCGATTGATTACAATTTTTTTATTTTTGGGACGAATATGGAAAGTTAAAATAGGAAGCATTTTTTATGCAAGACTAAGCATATATTGGTACATAAATTTGTATTGATAATCCCATCCGTTAAATTTGCATCCTCTCAGCGTATCGTAGAAACTCAGAAATTCTCCACATTTCCATCAATACCAGAATTTATTTTTATATTTTTTGCTGAATGAATGATTGTAATAAAGGATTATTTTGCGTGGATGAATGCATCGAAATTTTATATTTTCATGAAAGTTTTAAACGTAATCCTATCGCCATTGAAGAATTTCAAACATTTAGCAGACCAAAAACTCTTTTTTTAACTATTTGTTTTGTGTTTCTGAAAATAAGGAAAGTTTTACTGATTTTTTGTTGTAGATCAGATTAAAAATGTATCGAAACAATTTAGGAAAATATTTATATTTCAACAAAATGTTTATTGGCAAAAGTAATATTTTCATATCGTCAGTTTTAAACACAAATAATCGTTCGAATATTTATTTAACAATCTTGTAACTATTATCAGAGGATTTCAATCATAAATAGTTAAAGTTGTGTTTGCTCGCAACATTCAAAACTGAATTATCTACTCAAGCAGCATTAATAATACTCAAAAATCAATTCAAATCGTTAACATAAATCTGAAAGATAAATAGATGAACGAATGAGATGAAGGAAAAGTTTTTGTTTATCTACAAATCTGAAATAATTAATATTTATCTGCGCTTAAAAAAACACGCGATTGTTCATGCAATTCATCTGAACATTATTCTTATTTGTTAATCAGAGAAAAGTTTATTTTGAAATTGTTAATTAAACCTTTATTTAAATAGCTCATCCGCCCAGAAATTAATTAAAATAATGTTGCTGAGTAACAATGCAAATTTGCAAGTAAATTATCAAGCAAACCAGTCATTCGAGAATTGTGTGTTTGCAAACAAGTTTGTCTTGTCTTTCCGCAGACAAACAGGATGAAAACTTTTGTAATTTGATAATTTCGAGCTATACTGATTTGAAATGTGTAAAGTTTAGATCTATACTTATTATTCTCAGATCACCAAGAATATATTTATTTATGTTTTCGCTAACGAAAACGGTTTGGACCCTTCTGGATTTGATGTTGATGTAAATTTGATTAGATGAGAACTTTTTCATGAACAATCTCGTAATCTCAACACCAAAACTGAATTGAGTTCAAGCGGAAGAAGCAAAAGTTATGCAAATAAAGGATTTTGAGTTTTGAGGAACTGAGTTTCTTTTATTTGACTTCCACAATCTCATCAAAATTTCAAGCACACAAAAGAATCCAATTTACACATTCCCGGAACAAGATCCTTTTGAACTATGAATGAACAGTTGAGATGTGTAATCATCAACATCATCAGATGTTAATTAACGAGTGGAAATCTGAAAGTTCGGAGTTTATTTGAATAGGAAAAGTTTGAAACGACCGTAAAGTTGTTGGCGTCATGAAACAATATTTGTTTGTTGAGCGAAAGCGATTTTCAATCATGTAACAAGTGATTATTTGACTTTTACAATTAATTCGTCGTCTTAATGACATTAATGCTCATCGCACGTACCAAACGTCACCGAAAATCGTCTCAAGTTGCGAATAAAAATTATCCCCAATTAGCATTTTCACCGTCGTCGACTCTGCCGATCTGGAAATAAATTTTGTCGGTTAGAGGGAAAGTTGAAACATTTCAATAATTGCGGGATTAGAATTTTCCAATTTCTGAAAATCATTTGTCGATGTTTCGAGTTTGAATAGAGAGGGGGAGAGAAATGGTGATGAAAAAGAGGCAGTTACGAGACATGAATAATTAGGATTCGAATGGCGATGGTGCGTGAATTGAATGGAGAAAGAGAAATGTTGGGAATGTTGAGAGAAAAGTTAAACAATAAAATGATGAGAATAATTTGTTTTTCACACTTATGCATTAAAGCAATACTTTCATCACTAAGATGTGTCATTTATTCAGCTTAATTACTTTAATAACAATAATTTCCATCCTTAAAACTACATCGAATGAATTATTGATTTTCAGCATTTTCATTATTTAGGACATTTCGCGTTTTAGATAGTCAACTAGCTCTGCTGATGTAGTCACTGAAATTGTCTTTTAATTAAACAAATTTTACACGAAATAAGCTCTATTACGGCTAATTACCTAACTGTTTTATCAATTTATTGATTCATGTGTCAACGGTTGACAGCTCCAATTAATAACTTCAATTAGAGTTAGTCAAAAAGTTATAAACATGCATGTGCGATTAAATTGAATTTATCATTGAAATTACTTCATAAATTAAGAATTTTACTCTACTAAAGTTCATCCAGAACATTCAATTAATCGACATCCCTTCTGATGTCTGTTCATGTGTTTCAATATCTGAATAAAATTTGTATCAATATTAAACAAACATGTCGTTGACACTTTGATATTTACATATGAAGTTTTTAAGCAAAGTAGGAGGGGGAAATATTTTATTCTTATTTAAGTGATCTTTTATCACATCTTATCATCAGTTTCGAATTTATATTTGAATGATGAAGAAAGTGAATTTGATCATTTTTTCCTTCATTGCTTCTGCCAACGTGTAAGTTCTGAAAATTTTTATAAAGAAAGAAAATCACCAGAAGTTGACTCTTTAATTTGCAGTGCGATAGCTTCATTACCAGATCATAAACCAGATCATCCAGCACCAGGTCATCATCATCATGATAATGGTAATTAATTTGTTTGTATCTTCCTAAAAATATTCAATTTAATTTACTTTTATCGACAGATATGATTTCTGGCCCTACGTGGTGTACATACAAGGGCGTAACGTACCAGAATAATGAACATGTGTTCTTCGAGCCATTTGATGGGTTTGGATGCATTCATCATCATTGTGTTAATGGAGAAGTCCAAAAATTCAAGGTAGAAGAGTGTCCGCCAGCTTGGCAACATCCCGGCTGTGAACAAAAATTTACCGATGGCGAATGCTGCCCTGAATACGTTTGTACTGGTAATTTTTTAATTATGCAAATTTTCAGATGCAAGATAAAACTTTTTTATTTATTTTAAATAGAAAAGGACGATAGTGTCGGGGACAACATTCGAAATCCTTCATTTTGCACATACAATGACCAAATTTACTCGGAGGGAGATTTTATATTCAACGGCCCATTTAATGGTGTCGGCTGTCCTAAGTACTATTGCAAAGCTGGGCTTATTCAAGCCGAAGAATTTGAGACTTGCCCCATGCCAGTGTTTCCAAATTGCGAGCAAAGCTTTACGCAAGGTGTATGTTGCCCTCAGTACGATTGTTCTAATGGTAATTATTTTTTTTAACAATTCAATAGTCATAAACATTAAACTTATAAATAGAAAAATATTTAGAACTTTTTGATCATTTTTGACAGTAATTACTTCTGGTGATGACACGACTGGCGGTGGTGGACCGCCGTTTGGCGGTGGGGGTGGTAATTATTATAATGTTTTTATGTTTATAATTATGTTTGTAATTAATTATTTTATTGATTTGGATAGTAGCGGGAGCTCCCTCGTGGTGTAATTATAAAGGTCAAACATACTCGCATAAGGAATTTGTTTATCGCGGTCCATTTGATGGGATTGGATGCACTCATTATTTTTGCATTAGTGGAACAGTTCAAGCTTACCAAATTGAAGATTGTATTCCAGCTTGGCAATATCCTTATTGTGTACAAAACTTTTTGAGAGATCAGTGTTGTCCTGAATATGATTGTCCTTTCGGTAACTGTTAAATTATGGATTTTACATAAAAGATTATTGAACTTTTTTTATTAGCTTCGACAGACGTGACTGCTGGTGATAATGGAAATAACCAAGGAAATAACGAGGATCGCAATATTGGTAAATTAAATTCAAATTTTGATTTACATATAAGATTAAATCAGACTTATGACAATATTTTTCATCATTTATTTCATTAGATTTTGTCGCTTTTCCTTCATGGTGTAAGTACAATGATCAAACTTACTGGAATGGTCAACATGTGTACCATGGTCCATTCAATGGGATTGGCTGGTTTCATTACCACTGTGTTAATGGAATGATTCAAGGTTATAAGTTTGAGTTTTGTAAAGTTCCTGCTTGGGTAAACCCTTTCTGTGAGCAAGTCTTTGTCGATGACATGTGCTGCCCTGAATATGATTGTCCTCCAGGTGATATTTTGCTTAGCCTATGAGATTATAGTTAATAATTCACACAATTATGATTTTATGACAGGCGTTCCTTTAAGGACATACAAATGTTCAGTGCTGCCATGATTTAACTCAAGAGTTTGAAATGGAAATAAAGTGCAATTGAGCGCAATTTAAAACCGCAACTAAGAGTCTTTTTTTGCTTCATTAATTCAAGTGTTCACATCTTTTATCATTTGTGACTTTTACTGAAAAAAGACACTTGAAAAAATATTTTTGTGTTTCAGTTTTGCAGTAGTTAAGAAAAACGATCAAATATTGTCATTATCGAGTATTGAATATCAGGTGAAAAAGCAGATAATATCAAATTGATTAAAAGTTATTTTATGACTCATATTTGAAGAATATTTCTTAAAAAATAAAAAATGGCACGTAGGCATGCCAGGCTTGTATCTGACATTTGGATTATTTGCAAATGACTCATGTATTAAGTGAATAAATTTCTTATCCAACCACTCAGTTTCACGTAGATCAGGCGATCACTGATTTCAGTCAATTTATGTGTTAGAATGAAAAGAAAACTTTCTTTAGCAAATTTATATTATTAAACTAATTCTAAAACGAAGTTCCTATCTTTACAACTATTTTACATGATGATTTGATTCTTAATTCAAATATGTATTTGAATTTCTTTCTGCAAAGCTGCGTTTCCTTCAATGTCGTTTTTACGAATTTTGGCACAATCACAATTGAGATGAAATAAAACCGATTTTTTCTTTATTATTTAATGTTTATAAGAATGAATTCCCAAAACCATGAAAATAAGGAAAGATTGAAATCTGCAATCAACACTTTGAGTTCTTCAATTTACACATCTCCAATAACAAGGCATTCAACGAGATGATTCTTTTTAATATGATTTATTTTAATTTTGTTTGTTTCCATCTTGAAGAGTTTGTTTTAATTTTATTATTTTTTGCTTTGCACATAAATTTGTATTTTCTTAAAAATGTATAAAATTATATTTTCTCCGTCTTAAAACATTTCCTTTTATTTCATTTAATGTTCAACCTTTAGCTAGAATGTTATATGCCGACGTGCGAATTGAATATTTCGTCTTAAAAATAATGGGAGGAAAATGATTCGAACAAAGCAAATTTGCGAAAACGATGTGAAATATTTATGTTGTCTGTTTTTGCAATTGCTTCGGCTTGTTCTAAAAGCAATTTAAGCGCAGCCTGAAGGGAAAAATAAGCGCAAAAAAGAGTTGAAGTCGTAAAAGTCTCAAGAGATTGCCAATTTCAATTTCTACTCAACAAAAAGAAAACGTTGAAAAGGTTACACGTTCCACCATCGCTTCTTCGTTGTTCGTTGTCGGGGTTGTCGCTTCCCTCTGCACTTTTTTATGAACGATATAAAAAAAAGAACAAATAACAATTAGAGGTTTCGCCAAGAGACGCTTCTTAAATCAAAAGGAAAACATCTACGCTTTTTTTCCTGTAGTCTCAAAGGTCGGCCGCTTGATCTTTTACGAAAACTTTTGTCGTTAATCTACTGATAATTTATTCATAGGCAATCTAAGTTCCCTTAAGAGTTCCGTATTTATATAATTAGTTTGACGATTTGTTTGCAATCCTTTATGTGGACAGCAGATCTATAAATCATTTTTGTAAATAAACAACATGAGAGTCGTAAAAAATGACTGAAGGAACCAAACAGTTGAAACGACAACAAATATGAAGAAAACTCAGTAAACATAAACACATTAAGTAACTCAGCTCTTAAACTTTCACTATGCAAATATTTTCTTTTAAATCTTTTCAACGCTCTTTCTCGTGATGTTTGTCTGTAGAAGTGAAAATATGATTGAAGAAGTCGCAAGTTGTTCTTTTATAAATATACATATTTATGCTGAAAAGGTTGGCTTCACGACATTCTTAAATTCTCTTTTGCAAAGAGGGCGACCATTGAGTGCTGTTCAAACTTTCTATGCTAAAAGATTTACTTAAACACATTTTTTAATATCTAAATGGGAGTACAAAATATTCCAAAGTAATCAAAAATTGTAAGAAATATTGAAAACTAAATATTTTCATTGCATTCCCATCGAAAATCCTTTTCGGGTTCAGAGTTAGAAATGTTTGATTTTGTTGCAACTTAGAAAGATAAAAAAATATTTCAGTACGAAGAGTTTCATAAATTATCGCAGACAGACAAGAATTGTGCACTTCAAATGCTTCTGTTGGGCAAAAAACATATGCGTGCCATTAATTCCTTTCTTATGTTACAGATCATCGTTACACAAGTTCATACAAATACTCACACACACACATAATAAACACACTGATACTTCACAATAAGCTCTCTCATTCTCTTGCTACGGTTTCTTTACTCTTTCTTCTTTTTTGGTTTCGAGTTGATCTTTTTGTATTAGAAACAAGTTTTCAGTGCTGTTGATCAACTGCTTTTTACTCGAATCTCACATCAAACAGTTGAAATTCTTTCGTTGTAGGTTTGAGATCGTTGTGCTCACTGCAACGTGCGGATTTTTTCTTTCATTTATTTTCGTGGAACATTTTGTGTCGGATATATTCAAAGACGATTATGGTAGAAAGTCATTAATTGTGTCGAAAAAGCGTTAAAAAAAATTAAAGAATTGTTTTGTGTGAAGCAAGTTTGATCAATCTTATGAGAAAATATACATAAATTGTCGAATGTGCTAAAATCTTCATAGCAGTGCCACTTTTCCATGAAACGTTCTTTCTTTTCTTTCGCCTGTTCACAAAGAAGAAAAAATCATCTTAAGGCAAAGATTTTGATAAATTTGTCATCATCATCCGTTATAAACATTAAGAGTTTTTAAATCTTTTGCCATTTATTTAATCGCGTCGTGAAGATCTCTGTTTGGTTTCTGAGAAAATTTGTTGGTTTATTAAAGACATTTCAATTGTATGAAAGCGTGTGATATATTAGTGATCAAAGTGGAATCAAATGATGTAATTAAGTTGGAGATTTTCTCGTGATTGAATCTTAAGTTCTTTCATATCTCAATGATTCTTAAATATTTTAATTGGATTAAAAAGAACAAGAGATCCGATAGTCTTGTGTTCCCATAATTTGATAATAAAAATGTCGGATTTATATCATTAAAGAGTGTCGCGAAGTGGAATATTTATTTTTTGTGTATATGCCGTGACGATCTTACAGTCATATTTATGATATTCTCCTTTTATACATAAATATCCAGTGCTTGCTGTGAATTTTCAACATTTTACAAGGGATCATAAAAGTTAGAAAAAGAGACGAACATAAAAAGGAATACAAAACAAAAACTTCATCATTGGATATTCTTTCGGTAGATTTGAAACTTTTTTAAGTCAAATCGCATCAATAACATTTCTCAGGTAAAGAAACTCATAATTATCCTAACAAGCGCTCTTCTTTGAGGGTGTAGTTGAGACCTCTGAAATTGGTTTTTGAAGATTTTTTTTTTCGACATTTGCCTTTTTTTCATATCCAATGTTCCAAACCTTAAATCCAAATTGATTTTCTGTAAAGTTTAAGATCATTTCTCTTCTCAAACTGGTTTATGTTTGTATAAACACCACAGCTTGTTGTTGTATTCGGAGCCCGGTGGATTCATTTATACTTTCTTTGTGCACACACAAGCGCAACACATGTTCTTTCAATATGAAAACGGCAGAAACAGCAGCAACATAAGTATTGAGAGAATAAAAATCTTTTTCATCGTTCATGGCAACTCCAAATGAACTTTGATTATGAAATTCTTTTGCTTGTTCTCTTCCTTCTTTTCAAGAAATTATCTTGAAGAGCATAAATGGTTGTTGAGTTATGCTGGATATTTTCATTGATCAAACCAAAGAAAAGAAAAGTTGAAGCAGCGACACAATAAACTTAAATCTGATTTTATGAGATTTTAATGCTGGTTGACTTTCAATTCTTTACGGTAAATTCCACTCGCTGGTTTCAACTTTTATAGATCATAGTTCAGTTTCATCGTCTTATGTCGTTAATTATTATGTAGTGCGATGAAACTCTGGTAAGTCAAGATAAGACATGATTTATGGTGGACTGAAGAAGAAGCTCAACTGTTCAATAAAGAGTGATTTTTGTTTCGTTGCAAAAGTTTTTAATGACGTCGAATGAACTCTCTTCAACATTGTAAAGTGCTTAAGAATTTATCGTTTTCGTTTTTATCACAAAGCGCAGTTTGCCGCTATGCAATATTTAGTAATTCATCACAAACCTGTTCATGTTAAATAGAAGAGAACTTTGCGATGTTAAACAAGTTGTTGCTCTTGTCGTCGATAATTGGCGTTCAAAATAAGTTTTCACATTATTGATTTTTCTTTCTTTTTATGTGACTTAAAAAAGAAAGAGGAATAAAAGCGGCTTCGAATGGGCATCATAAATTATGAAAATCACTTCAGTCTCAGCGATGCAGGCTGACAGCGTAAATAAAACGCATGATCATAAATTAAACCTTAAGGATGAAAACGATGAGCAGCGAGAAAAATAGAGAAAATAATCAATTGTGGAGCTTCATATGTTGGTTGTCCCGTCGTTAAAATTTATTCGTCGCATTAAACATTTTTTGATCCTATCCTAAACGATCAACAGTTTCTTTTGTTTTGTTTTACTTTGTCGTGGTGTGTGGCAGAAAACTGGAAAGTGAAATTTATCTAAATTTAAGAGAAACCTTTTTAAAGTTGATTTTTATGAACTAAATTGAGCTCAGTTCAGAAACTCTACGAACATATTTTTAAGCAAACTTCATGTGACGATAACTTCCTCCAATTTATTATTAAATGCTGATTCATTGAAACAAATTTTTTGCCTAAAGCAATGCTTTTTAGATGTCTCGAGTTGAAGGAAGGAATATGTACGAACACATTCGATGGGGGCAAATGGAATAACAAGCATCAAAAGCCTTCATTGTGTGAAAAGGCAAACTTTGAAGTATTTGAAATAATGTGAATTATGGTATTTTCAATTATTTCTGCTTGTTTCGATATCTGCTTCACGGCTTGAGAAGGCGAAATGTTTTCATGGAAATTTATGAGATGTTGATAAACTTTAAAGCTGAAAAGCTGTGCAGTTTAAAATTTACAACACCATGTTGTTGTTTCAATGCTTATTGTGTTAATATTACTCATCTATCATAACCTTCCCAACATTTTCATCATCTCGTGATAAAAGAACATGAAGTTTTCAGATGTTTAAAGCTCAATCTAAATAATAGATTTAGCAAACAACAATTAATGACCAATAATTGCAAAGCAAATTGTTGAAGTTCACGCCTAAATTCTAAATCTAGTTAGCGTTTGATTATTGTGAATTTTCGTTTAGTTTCCTCATTTCCACTGTCTCATTATTTTTCTGCTTGCACAATTGTTCAAAATTATCTGTGCCATTTAAACTCGAAACGATAAAATGGCAAACTTTGTCGTCAAATTAAGAATAGCAATGAGTTTAGTTTGCCGCTTGTCGTTTATCTTCTCTCTAACGCTAATGCAGTGGAATGCAATAATTTATCGCGTAAAAATGAAACAAAGTCACAGCTGTTCTCTTTCGCACACAAAAAACTCCACGTTTGCATAAGAAAACCGGAATAATTTTGACTTTAATTAAAAAGAAATCAACCGCATGAAAGATCTTTTTTTTCCTTCTTTTCGTTCGCGAATGAAACGACGACGGAGAAAATTAAATATTTACGAAGTGGAAAATATTTTTCATCGACATTATAATAAAATTACCAAGAGTCGTTTTCATTCTTAACGACAACATGATATACGCATCTGGAGAGCGAAGACGATGAAATAAATGCTTCCATGATTCAGTTGCATAAAATGTTTCATGACTCTTGTAGATCGTTTGTAACCCACATTTACCGCATACGGCATAATCACATTTTCATGATTTATCGTCTGTCTATTCGCCTCTATATCTTGATACTTAAAATGTTTTTTTAAATTCCGCCGAATTCGTGTTTCTATTTTTCGAGAGATTCAAAAGATGAATAAAAAAAGTTTGAATGCTTGCGCACGGTTTTATGAACTCAAGGGAGAAGCAAAAGCAGAAACAACAAAAACATGACTAATTGTTCTTTTGTTTTTTTTATACTAGTAGAATTATGAAATAAAATAACAAAAGTGTTCTAGACGCGGAACCATGTTACAAGATCAGTTTCGAGTTTAGCGAGTGTTATTAATGTTTGTTTCATTCGTGAAACTTAAGTTTCTTTTGATTGTGCTCGCTGTGGAATGTTTCAAGAAGAAGAAAAATATTCGTAATAATAAATGAGCCGAGAAATTAAATTAAAATTTAAAGAATTCCATTTTTTACTAATGAACTTGCTATTGAGGGAAAAAAATATTTCTTCGATAAGTTGATTGCAATGTTTTAATTATAATTTAAATTATTTTGGACAGACATGTCGAAAAGTAAATTTATTTACTAAACAATTATTTAATTCGCTTTTAGCTTTTATAATTAATTTCTAATTTGGTTAAATGCTTCAGAAAAGATCTGCAAAATTGAATTAAATTTTATAATAGTCAAATCTGTTAAAAGTTTGAATAAATATTCTCACTGCCTTCAAGCCTCAATCTTAAGTGTAAACATCACTTAGCGAATTATTACATTGCATTGTCAATAAGACATTCAAACGATTCGCTTCGCGTGAGAGCAATTGTATGCTAATTGTGTGTTGAGTAAAATCTAATTTTTAGTGCAAAGAATGAAGTCTAATAAATAAAAAGCGAACATATCTCCTTAAATAAATCCATTGTTGACAACTGTTACTAAAATGAAATCATACACCGTCTTTAATTTCATTTTGACAGCTTAAGTGTTGATATATTTTATCTTCATTATGTTAATTGCTTCATTTACGTTGTTTGTGCCTTCATCAACCTTCGCTTGACGTTAACTCGTCTTCCGTTGGACGATGTTTGCTCTTGGATTTAATTCTGCAATGCTTTTTCTTTTATTACAATAACTACCACGCTTCCAAAGATTGTCATCAAGAATAGGATAATCAAGTCTTCGCTTCACGTGGGTATTGCTAACAAGAGCAACATCAGCAGCATGATTAAAAAGTGCTGATAAAAAGTTTTAATAATACAGCATGTAGACTAAGTTTCATCAGAAACATGTTGACAAACGACAATTCTTTTATATTTACGTTATTAAATTTCTGCTCGTGTTATTAAATAAATTTACTACTATAAAGAGATTATTTTTAAGCCACAATGATCAGATCATAAAATATTTATGAGCACATTGTTTCATCGTATTTAATTAATGGTTTGATGTTTCGAAAAGTCATAAAGATTTTTCTTTTAAAATTCAAATTTAAATGATTAGATTTGAGGATTTTGAAATAAATTAATAACATTCACATCGACTTTCTCACTCCGCTTTTATATGCCATGGCTTTAAATAGAATACAATTTGATTAAAAAGGTAAGCCAATTATTAAGAATCTTAACGGAGATTTCGTTACAGACTAAACTGATTGTAGGCCCTTATTTAACCTGAACTAGAAATTACCGCTCGATTGTCTCATCTGTTTAACGTCGCCTCAAGACGAAATTTGTAGCTTTCACTGTAAATTACTCTCACGTAGATCCTAATCTACATTCAATCAAAATCTAATCTGTTCCATTTCCTCTTTCCATCGTACATCAATCAAATCAATTTTCTCAAATTCAAACATCATTAAGTAATTTTCATTCTCTTTCGACTGTCTTGTACTATTCGGTTCGTGTTCCGAAAAAGAATGAAAACCGTGAGGAATTTGCGCCTAGCATTGTTAAATGTTTTCTAATTCATATATGAATTCCATCGTGAACTATTTCATTAGTTGTGGGTGTAATTAATTAATTTGGGTCTTATTAGTATGAGTTGATATTATCAGCTTGCAAGTATAAAGTCAACGTTTAAAACTGGGATTTGCCCCAACAAAAGTGTGACGTTCACACATGTTTATTGAAATAAACAAAAATAATTCTCTTTCGATACATTTGAAGTTAATTAAATCTAATGAATGATATTTGAAAATCTAAATTATCATGCCATGTCGTTATAAAAGTCTAATTTTCAATTTCCATCCGTACACAGATAATTGTAATTTAATGTTCCTTCTCTTCTCTCTTTGATTTAATTATATCCATCATCAAAGTGGAAAAGTAATGAAACCGTTCCATTGTTGGTTAACGAAATTGAGAACGTCGGCAAACCTCACGAGCATTTACCGCACAACGAACACGAAACAGAAATTCTTGCGCAAAAGGAAATCGTTTGGTTTCATTTTAGGATTGAACTCGATAGAATGATGAAGAAGTGAGGTATTCGTTTGTCGGATAATAGCTGCAAGTATATATTTCATATGATGGTTATAAAACGAAAATCACAAGAAAAGTGTTTAAGGAAGAAAAAAAGCGCCAATTGCGATGAACTAGTCTCATAGAAAATAAAATTTGATTGAAGATAATTCTCGAGTGAACCCCACATAACAACCTCGAACTTGTTAATAACTTCACAAATTGTTTCGTTTTTCTTTCTTGCTTTATTTCTATTCTCGCTGATTATGTTTATGGGTGGGAAATTTCAAATCTCACTCGTGTAGCACTTTAAAATACACAAAAAGTTAACTTTGGTGATTTCGTTGAAGCAAGTCTAATAAATATCTTTTCAATTAGGAGTATCTCTGTGACTTAAATTGCTTGTTGTGTGATTTAAAATGTAGAACAAAGAAGTAAACAAATTATTAAGTGAAAAGGAATGTTTAAATGCTTTTTATGTAAGAATTTTAAAAGATTCGTAATTTGTGGAATTTTATACCACCATAGGAGACAGAAAACTGGAGAAGTTGAAGATTTTAAATTCATTTCCTCATCACAATAAGATCGTCACAAGCAAGAATTTAGGAAAAAAGGTTCTGTTGGTATTGTTAACTTAATTTTGACTCGAAGGTAAAAGAGAATTCAACTGCTGTTCTTCCTGTTCTTAGTCTCTGACATTTTGAATTTGTGAAAAAAAAAATTTAACCAAAATTCATTCATTTGCGGACTGTTTCTGTTTGATGTTATTATTCTTGAGTCAGTTGAGAACTAACAAAAAATGTATTCTTATTTGAATATTGTTGTGCTTCCAAAGCAAACGCTGGCCCATCATAAATTTTAAATCTACCATTCGTTTCGGTTAACTTTATGCCAAGAATAAATATATTGCATTGAACCCGCCACACGGTCGTTAAGACTTCCTATCTTTGTGTTAACATTTTCTCAGTATGCACTTTTGCAGCCTCTTCACTCGCAATATCTGTTGAAAAGAAGAGATTGTGACGATAAAATTGAAATTATATGACTTGTTAATTGTCGATTTGAAGTGAAAATTCAACGAAATATCTTCAAACCAAGAAGTTTTTAAGCGTTTTTTCTTGTTTCTCGACCACATCATCACATTAACGTAGTTCTCGTTAAAAGCAATTTATTCTAATGGAATGGATTCAACATTGTTAAGTGTAAATGAGAAATTCTTAAAAATAAAACTTTTTAAAGTAGATTTGGATGAAATGTATAATTAATCTGATCTCAAATATATTATTAAGCCATATTCATTGATGATGAACCTTCACCGTGATCAATATTTCTGAATTGATGGAAGTTTTAATGATATCGTTCTACATACTAAATGTCTTCCTTTGTTCATATATTTATCTATGATTTATTTGTTTATCCTTTCCCCAAAATTATTTCGGTGCTTTTATACTCATTTCAGTCGTTCCATTGAACTTTTAGACTAACTAGATTGGATATAATTAAAATATCAGAGAAATTAAAGCAAAATTTGATTATTTTTTGGTAGGGAAATTGATTCAACTTCTTCATCATTAGAATACTTCATCTACTCCATTAATTTCTCCCTTGAACAGAGATCCCGCTGATTATATGTTTATACAAAAGTAAACTACTAATAAACTTTTCATTCTCCCGAAAAACCTTAATTGAGACGAAGATTCGAAGATGTTGAGTAAGCTGTAAGAACTTCTTGATTTCCATTCATCCGCAATGCAAACAAAAGATTTCAATGATTGATAGATGATGAGCTTCATAAATATTTTGCTGTCGACTTGTCGATGATATTTATTCTCAATTTTATCTTGTAGCTGCCTTCTTAATATTCCGCACTCAAAGCAAAACTGATGAGATGGGAAAGAATGTTATAAAATAGCATCGGTTTAATTTACGATCGAATCAAATTCGCAATGACTTTCTGGTTTCTTTTTTTCACAAGTTCTTAATGTTAAAACAAACAAGAGAAAATATTTATTACTGCAACTCGATAATTTATTTCACATGCAGCTCGAAACTATTTCTTGATGATTGAATGCTTGTTCTTAAAATCGAAACAAGTGGCAAACCCTGATATTTATTTTAACATGTTAATATACAAGAAAGAAATGTTTTAAATAGATTTTTTATCAGATATCCAAATACAAACACAAATTGAAATAAATTAAAAGATTTTAAAAGTCATTTATGTCACTATATAAGTAAGTGAAGTAATAGTGGAACGAATCTTGACTTTCAATCTTTTCATCTATTTTTGAGACTCATCAATATTCGAAAGTTTCAGATGACGATGAGTAATGGAATCATTGAATGAAAAATTACGCAATAATTTGCATCATCACAAACCTATTCAAGGAGAAAATTATTGAGTAAATCACGAGAAGAGACGATGTTAAACTTCAAAACCCAATCCCGTCAACGTCGTTAATCTTGATGATCTCAATCAATGGAAAATTCAATTTAAAAAAATTTACCAGTCCTTCCTTTGTATAGAATCATAAATTTTGGAAAAAGCTTTAAATTTTATTTTGACAGAACTAACAAGCTATTGCAAAGGTTGTAAATAATAAATAAAATAAGTTATTTTGAAATTTATTGACCATGGAAATATTTGATTATTAATCCGATGTGAAATTTATTTCATTTTCATCCATAAATGTCGTGAATTGACAAAAATATCGTTCGCCATGTCATCATCATCTCCTGGAAATTGCAATTCGAATTTGTCACAAGATACTGCAAGCGCAACCAGAGAGAAGATAAAAATCTTGAATATAAAAATATTTCACTTCAATGCCATGTCTTTTATACATTTGAGAATGCTTCTCTTTTATATTTATCGATGACAACTGCAAGCTATGAACGAAAAATGAATTCATTTTTATCTTTTAGCCATTTCTCAGCATCTTCTACTTGTAAACGACAGCAAAAAGATTAAATTTCTATTGTAATAAATTTTAATTTCTCCTCCTAAATATGACATTGGATGGAAATATGAGTGCGATAAAAAGAGAAAGCAATTGAAATTATATTCAAAAAAACTCTTCCTTAATTCGAATGATGAGGTTTGTCCTCTGAATTTGTTTCCTTGATTTAATATTTGTTTGATTACAAATCAAGTTGAACAATGGAAACTTTTCTTCTTCTTGTTCAAAACATGATTTATGTGGCTACCATGGATGTCATCCCAGTGAGTTCAAATCATTTGATATTATATCAATTTAGGAAATTAATTAAAACATGGAAAACATTTTTAAACAGAAATCAATTCAATTTATATGAAACATGTTTAATAATTAAGTTTAATGATGAGATTTGAACATCAATGATGTAATAAATTCTAAAATGCTCATGATTCTGACTAAATAAAGTATGTGGAATTAACTGGGATGTTTTGAAACTCATAAAGTTAATTAAATTCTCGCAATTAATTGAATTACTCATTTCAATGAATACAAATAATTGAAAGTTCCCTCAAAGTTCAAACACAATAATTTACTCGTCATCTGCATTGGGGGAAATGCTAGTCATTGTCTGTTCTGAATTGTTTATGAAGCGCTTTTTTATATTAATTCCCTTTATTTTTCACTTCCAATTAAACCAGTCGAGGAGTAAACAAAAGACCAAACACAATAAAATTCGTCACGTTGAAAATCTCTTCACAGCTCTGCTTGTTATGGGAACTTTATTAAATTCTAAAAAAAAAATACATCAAAAATGGTAAAACGTCCACTGCCGAAGTAGAGAATAAGTGAAAAAGTGAAGCCAATTGAAGAACGATTCTTGAGATTCTCAGAAACAACAATCGCATTGAAATTGATTTTTTTCGTATTTTCCTTTCCAGTTCATTTCTGTAAATAACCCAAAGGGAGTTCGATCGTAAATTCATGTTCACCTTAACAAAAGCCATTCTGCGCAAGAGAAAAAGACGCTTTAATTGATTTTCTCACTTTCTGACACAATAATACGGAATACTGTTTATATTTAGTCAGAGTCAGAGTAAGAATCTTGGAAAAGGTGCACAAGAAGGTGAATAATAAAGAGAATAAGAAGAAAGAAACAATTCAGTGGATAATAGAAGGTTTCAGAGTTTACCTGTTACAGCCACTAGAATTTTTTTGCCTTCTTTCACATCACCAAAACATCCTAGGAAATTTGCCAAGGCCTGAGGGATATGTTAGAGAAGGAGACTATTGAAGCGAGGGTGGAATGTCTTATTGTGTCACTCGACGATGAAAACAGAAATAGAAAAGCAGAAGATAAAAAAGGACATATATAAATTGCACTTAATCATTCTTTTCTCTCTTGTGAGCTTCGAATGTGGAGTTTTTGTGAATTGTGTTTGCTTCTTTCATGCTACGTTAGACATTGAATAGAAAATCCTGAATGCCTTCTTCTCTCATCCATGTCATGGCTCGCAAAGCTCAGATTATAATGAGGACATCAACAATGAAGTGAAATGACGTGACTTTTTGCATTGCTTTTCCTCAGTTTCGTTTTGTTGCCTTCCCGAAAAAATGGCTGCTTTCCAATCTTCATTCATTACGATATCTCTTTTTAGGGAATCTGCATAATAGACATTGTTGAAGATATCTTTACGTTTCATTGACTCAAAGAGAATAATAATAATAAAAATATTTCACAGGTGCCCTAAAAAGTTTTTAGACAGCAAACGCTGAATTTTCCCTTGTGAAAAAATTTAATTAAAGTTTATTTTCAATTCATTTCTAATAATAGTTACAAAGGAAGGCAGGGAAAGTCTACGACAGTTGTAGAGTATCAAAAGTTGGAATTTGAAAATTGATTTTTATGTTAGTGCTTTGCGCTATTTGATTATTGAAATCTCTTTTACTCTGCCATTATATTTGACTTGGGAATTCAAATGCGTGACTTGGTGTTAATTGATTGTTTTCTTTATTTTTTTATTTATGCTTCTCTATCTTTGTGCGGCTTCCATTTCCATTCTTTTGCTTCCTCCCGATGTTCTTTCATAGATGACCGATTAATTTTGACAGTTAGCCTTAACTAATGGAAACGAGATTCAATGAGTGTTAATTTCTTATATCTTCGATTTAGATGGTATGAAAACCACTTACATATATACATAACTAAGTTGTTTTTAGACTTGAAAAACCTTCAGATTAGTGATTGATGATTTTTAAAGCAATGACGAATCTTATGAACTTTTGTTTTGCTTTGAAGATTCAAAAGTAAAAAACGAAAACCGTTCAGCTGTCAAAAGTCATTTTTTATCAAGTGACTTTCAAATGAATGCAGCTTTGATTGGCAGGTTAAGTTAAATCGAATCACATTATCTGGCAAATCTGTTCAATAATTTTTTTTCTTGATTTATTTCTTCTATATTGGGTGCAAGCGCAACCTCATTTCACATCACCTTATAAAATATTTTAATTGAATCGCGATTTAAATGAGAAAAAAACCTCAAAATGTCTACCCGCCTTTCCCACAGCATGTCGATTGTTTATTAGAGGCAATACTTTCGCAATTGGTATCTATCTATATTTGGGACAAATGTTTCCATATATCACAGAAGCTTTAGTCTTGACTTCGTAATAAATAATGTTTTTGTATCGTGTCAATTTATATAAAGAATAAAACTTGCCATTGACATTTTCCTTTATGAATGAAATCAAAGCCGAACAATTCAAATTGAATCTGTTTGCCAGCAGCGGAATGTCTTTAAATTTTAATAAGATTTTTATTTCTTTCACTCACAAGCTTTCATATTCAAAATTCTACCTTTTTTGACGTTGTTTCTTTTTTTACCGAAAACATTACTTTGTTTGTTGTTGCACTCAATTCTTCTCCTCCTGAAGGAAACGAGTTGGTTGTTCGTATCCTGCTGTTTCTCAAATAAAAAAATGTAATAAATATTAAATGAAACAAATTCAATAAGTAATTTCATTTTTCTTTCTCTCGTTTATCGTGAGTTTCATGTGGCAGTTCTTTATAATTTTTTAAAGATTTTACAACTTGATTCAGGGTTTTAAAGTAATTTTTAATGTTTTTAAGTATGATAAAATCTGAAAAAGGTATTTCATAAAGTAATGAAATTTCACGCTTAATTGTGTACAAATGCTTAAACAGCGTCATCAAAAGATGAATAACTTTCAAAAATTATTCACGCTTCTTCTCTTAACTGATCTTAATTGAAACATGTATTTAAATTTATCAAATTAATCCTCACGACGGGGGAAAATCAATCAATTCAAAAGGATTTTTACAAACCGGATAGTTAGCAACAGGGAACAAAATAAAATAAAATAATTTAAACTGACATTTGCAAGCTCTTTAATCAACATTGCATCAGATAAATTCAACCTGTGTTTAATGCTATCCCAACGAATAATTCATTCGATGCAATTCCTATAAATAAAAACTCAAACAAACCACTATTTGATGTTAAGTATGCTTTCAATCGTATTTATCTACCCGAACCATTTTTTTAAGGTAGAAGCGAGTAATTTAATTCACAGCAGGTTCTAATGCGTTTCCCTCAATTAATTCCAGCTCATAAGCTCTTCTCATCTATTGCAATTGCATTTTATATAATTCTGTCTCAAGTTTTCTTTGTGGCGGCAACCATCAGAATATACTTAAAGCATTGCATTAGACTCACATATTATAACGAACATGAGAATGTTATGAAGCGGAATTACAACTCGTTTTCTTTCTTCCATTCCATGTCTTTTTTTTGCAAGCGAAGTATGAGAAATGGAGCTGCGGCATGAGATGGTATTTATGAGAATAATTCATATGATTCTTCCGTCGCTACAACTATGAATTCAGAATTCATATTTAAGCGCTTTAAGTTCAAGACGAGAGAATCTTCTTTACACTAGGAATTGATTGCCCTTCAGCACACCAAGATCTCTTTCTTTGCACTTTTCTTGTCTGTAATAAGGCTCAGAGAAAAGTAAAGCAAGAAAAAGTTTCATGCAATGCAACATTTATCAATTTTGAGAGAAGGCCACATGTTTCCGTACATTGTATAGTACATTGATCGTATAGTTCGTGGTGAGAGTTATGGTCTGCTTGAAAAATATGCGAACATGAAATGGTGATGAAAAATTGAAAATTATAGCAAGACGAGTCATGCAATTTTAATCTTCACACATTATTAATAAAGGCATCATATTCATTATGGAGTTTTCTTGAAATAAAAAAAGAAGAACAACATAAAATATGTTTTCTCTTTTTTTTCTTCTGTTAAAATTTAATGCAATTATTCTCATACATCACGAAATTAAAACTTCATTACTAATTTTATACACAAACATTGTTTTCCAAAACATTCTAAGTTTTATGTTGAGAATGTGTAGTGAAAGTTGAGAAATAAGCAAATCATTCGAATTAAATTTTCATTTGGAATTCACCTCAAAACCCTTCCTTTCATTTTAAAAAAAATTATGTTGGACGTTTGTTGTACGTATTTGAAAAACATATCTGAAACCAATAAAATGCTTTTTTGCTAAAATTCTCCACAGCTGGCAAGGAAATTAAAAACTAATGGAAAAACATAAAAGCTCATAAGTGCTTGTGAGAATGCAAAGGGTGCAGAGCGTGAGGCAAACATTTTCTAAAATATTCATGGGATGTTGGATCTGAAAATAGAATTTTGTGTTTAAGCAACACATCTGCCATGGATTAACATAAGTTGATTTGGTGGGTTAAGTCGTGAAAAAAATTTGCTTTCTGGGAAATTTTATGTCGCACCTGAAACTTTTGTTCCTCCACTGGAAAATAGAAGTTTTTTCCCCACTGACGACATTGAGATTGAGCATTAGATTAAGTTTTAAACTTTAACAGCAGACGAGAAATTAATAATTCTAGCATCAAAATGAATTTTATTTATGAGCACATAAGAAATTTAAGTAAAGCAAAACGATTTTCTCATTTCGTGTTGAGAGCATAATAAATACTTGGCAATACGAAGACAAGCTTTTGAATTTGTAAAACCAATGTGATGATGTCAAATGTCGAGTGTATGATTGTCGTATAAACATAAATAGCTTTTTGATTTGAACGCAATGTTAAGTTTGTTCAAAGCACTTGAATATTTGAACACATGAAGTTACATCTTACATACATATTAACAACATCAAGAAAACATCGTAACATTAAGTGAAAAGTTCCAACATCATCGAATATTCAAAAGTCTGTATGAGACGTGCGACAACACGCGCTAAAGACACTTGAAATGAAATTTTCTCATGTTGAGCTCAAAGATGTTCCTAGTGAGTCGCATTCATCTCACATAATATCAATCAAACTGTCTCAGCACTACGAGACAAAAGCAAAAGCTTCATAATCAAAAGTGAATAAGAATGATTTCAACTCACGAAGCTCATAAAAATTGATATAAAATTGGATCGCAACTTTTCAAACGTTGAGATTATGAATAGGCAAGGTTGATGAAAGGCACATATTTTACAGATTTGTTTCGCATAAAAATGTTATTTCACAGCAACCTAAACGTAGGTAAAACGATATGAACAGCAGCAATTGTGATGGTGCTGCATGCTTTAGACGTTTATTTATTTTACAAACGTGTTTTGCATAATTGGTAATGATTTTTCTCTCGCCTCGTTTCCCTTCTTCTTTTTTTTATTACCGTGGTTCAAGTTGAAATCATGTGCGATGAAATATAAGAAGGGGTTGCTCGTGATGAAAACGGCAAGGTTAACTGCTTTTGGCTGCACATTTTTATCTAGAAGAAAAAAGATGCTGAGGATATCAAATTTAATTCAATTTTTTTAACATATATACATACAGTGGAATCTCTACAAGCTGAAGCTGAAGGGTTCGTTCATGGAGCTTTTCTGTTCATAGAATGGCTTTCAAGTATGAATGCAGCTGAAGGCAGAGTTGGGATTTGACTGACTGACTGACAGACATTGACTTGTCACTCAGTCAGTCAAACGACTTGAGCGGAACATTTATATGAACGTGTCCCAACAAACGAATATTTTTGTTCGCGATTTTGAATGACTGACTGAAAGACATTGACATGTCAGTCAGTCAGTCAATCGAGTTGAACGGAACATTTGCCCATCTCTGGCTGAAGGGGGGTTCGCTTATGGAACTTTTCTTCTCATAGAGCTTCCGCTTATAGAACGTCGACTGTACATTTATCTAACAAAAAGTGTGAAGCTTCATGCTGAAAGCAGGAAATTATGTGGATTTATGATACTAATTTAATTTGAACTATGACAAAGCTTGAGGTTTAAAGCTTCACTCTGTCGTAATTACAAGTTTTAAGTTCTTTTCACATCAAAGACAAATCAACTCTTAAATTATGTTGAACAGGTGAAAGAGCTTTTTACTTTATTACACTCCCGTCATATCAATTCAAAGTATTTTATGGCATTGTAGGATAAAAGGAAAACAATATTCAATTGTTCTTTTCCATCTATTGACTCTATTAGGAAAGCCATTAAATTTCCCGAAGCATGGCTTTCAAAGTCAATAAAAATTGATCATCCCAATAACTTTTATTACATTTTTACTCTTCACTTTTCTTCAATTTTATCATAAATCAGGATGACTAGGTTTATATGTTTGACTTGTGAAATTCACTTTTTGTTACAAAATTTCGTTTAAACGTTCCCCAAATTCTCGGTACCATAAAAGGCATCTATAACATTATTACAAGTGTTTTCACCCTTCAAAATCATATGAAGGAAGAAGACAAAAACCATGCACGGAAAATTTTTCTCTTCTGCTTCTTTGAACAAAAGCAATAACTTAAATTTTATACACACATCCTTTAATGTTGTTTCGCAATTTTTCATGAGCTTAAACAGATTTGCTTTTGATTTTTTTCTTCATTTTATTTTTTGTTCTCGATGCCGTTATGTCGAGTTAGGATCTTTTCTCTTTTTAATAATGTTGAATGCTATTAGACTTGTCTGAATTGTAGAAACATGGAAATTGAAATTCCGGAAACTGTTTTAAATTGAGGGGAAACTGTTTTTATATTTAATTTAGTTGCTCTGCTCTGTTTTATATAAGCTTAAACTTTGTTTCATTGATTTCACTAGAACATGTATGGAGATTAGAATAGCTGTGTGAATGTTTTGTGACATAGAAAATTTATATAATTAGTTAGTCACAACATTCAAGTTGTTTAGCATACATAATTTAGTAATGAAATCAACACGAGCTTATCTGAGTCCTAATTCAATAATATAAAGTCTCACAAAAATTCTTCTGACATAAAAACATTTATGTACGTTCGTTCATCTATCTCATGAATTTAAAAATAAGGTTGAAACAAGAAATTGACATGGCCACAATATATTGACAAAAAATTCTATTGATACGTTATTTAACCTTTTTTCTTTTTGTGAGAACAAAATAAAAGGAGAAAAAGTTCTTTCTGGCGTTATTTTTGGAAAGGAAACTGAAAGCGTCCTCGTGCTTTGAAGAAAAAGAAATTGGAGCGTTTGAGATAAGAAGCCAATAAATTTGTATTAACATCAGGAATTAGAGCAGGGATTCTTTCTTATTTAATGTGAAGTTTATATTGAATTTTTATAGAAACCTTCATTGATAAAAATCTTACTTTCTATTTTGGTTTAAACATGACTTGGATTTAATGCGATTTATTCCACTCTTGCTCGTTCGTTACTTACTTGTGGTAGTTTTTTGAACCAATTTTATCTTGAAATGCCATGAACTAAGCCTAGAAGTTCACCACATAATAATTTCTGACATAAAAACATATCTCGAGTGGCGCAGTATCGATTTCTCAGAAAAATGTTTCAAATCAATCTTCGGTATGAACGATCTAACCATTTATCATCAGAGGATGAAAATCGATTATGTAATCAACAAATAACATAAACACATAAGCATGAAAAAGAATTTTACAGCAGAATCATAACATCATCATGTTATAAATATTATCTGTGGGAGTTTTCTTCCTTTCTGCTCCACGTTCAACAAATAAATTGTCCAAAAGAGAAACAAATGGAATTTTTCTACTGAAAAAGCATGAGAAAGATAAAATTGCTTAAAATATGTATCTCGTTCACCATAAATGGTAGTTAAGCTTAATAAGGCTATTTGTAGTTTCAAGTAATCTTTTGATAAACATTCTGAAAAAGGTGATGCTAAGAAAGATAAAGATTTATCAAGATATTGCTATAAAAAGAAGATAAAAGGGCATTATTATCAACATTAGAGCTTCATTTGCTGTCCTTATATTTACCAATTAAATTCAGATTCATCCTGCAATCTGGCGAAATCATCGAATGGGAAAATATGAACAGAAAAAACAGAAGCTTGTTGAAGTGAGTTGGAAAAGGAAACAAAGAAGTTTGTAAGAAGCTTATGAATCTAAGAATAGATGAAAACCGGAAAGGAATAAGAAGAATTTAATTTTCCAGCCCAGCAGTGTCTCATGAAAAGCAGCAGAGACATTCTAGGTGACCCTTAAAATCAAATAAAAATATGTATCCAATGGGTATTTCACTTCCTCTCAATATTGATCTTTACCCAATCACACCGGAACTTTTACCGCAGGGTAGAGAAGAAAAATGAGAAAGGAGGCAAAGTTAATAATGCCATAATAATGCGATGTTCTATGCTACACTCACTTTTATATGATAAAGTTAAGCGATACCCATAAGGAGAATCTTTTTCCTTTTGTACTTGTCGTTTTCCTTTTGCTTTAACAAAAGCGATAAGTTCATTTAGCTCGTCTTTGTTTTAGTATCATTTCGATACACACATCATTGAAACGAACTTCATCATGAATAGAAACAGAAAAAAAGAAAAATCGAACAATGAATGTGGAAAAAAGCAAGAGAATTGATTAAGAAGCAAAAACGAAATGGTTGTGCTGAGATGATATCTCATTATGATGTGATGCAGTAATAATGAAAGATAAAAGCTTAGAAATCGATGCTTTCTAGCGTTGAAAACATCTTTTGTCTCATTGTTTGTCTTCATTCTCGATAAAAACGATTTATTATCGTGTTTTATTATTTTCAAATGGAATGAAAATAACAATGATTAAAACTTGATTAATTTAATTGAAAGTAAACAAAGTTTGTTTAAGAAAGTGATTAAAAATCTTCCAATATGTGTTTAAGAATTCTCTTTGTGATTCATTGGAGTAAAATATTTTGATCTAATGTGATCTTAATGACTGTAAGACGTCAGTTTTTTGGCTGTGACAACCTGCAATTTGTTCCTCTTCAGAAAACTCTAAAAAAGTAAAAAATTTCTCCAATTCTTCAAAACTTCAACTACCAAAGTTTATCATTTGTTTGACATTCTGCATCAAAAAATCATCTAAACAATTTTGTTAAATAATAACTTACATTTTCATAATTCTAAAACATTTATACTGTCATTAAACACTTAAATAATCTTTTTGAATTCAATTATGAATGATTTCTGGAAATGTGCCAAATAATGGAATGGAGCTGGAAGTTGCATAAATGAAAGAACAATTTTCTCTGACATTTTGCAGTGACGTTCGCCAGTTGCAGCTTTTGCATGAAGACATTAAAAGCACTTAAGTTCCAGTGACTAAGGAGAAAATTGTCTATCATGAAAAGGCGTCTTAAAACATAACTAAAAAAAGTTTCCAGGAAATTTTTTTTCTCCAACTTTGACTTGAATGAAAAAGTGAACTGTCTTGATTGTGCTCTACCACATCTAACTTTTGACTCGTTTTCCGTGTACTTTTTAACGTTTTTTAAATGTAAGCACAAAAAATGAGAAATTTGCATTTTTTCAATTTCCTGCATTCATTTTGATATCCTTTGTTCTTCCATTCCCCCATTCAACTTTTTTCATGTTCACATGCAGCTCTTTTTTAAGAGTACTCAAGAGTACTTGTATCTTGTAATTTAAGGTCAACTTTTGTAGATTGAAACTTGAGGAGGATGATGAGGGCCACTTCAATTGCCTGACCACTTAAAGACATTATTTGTGTTAAGTTCAATACCATTTATTTCAACGTGGGGGTTTAAGTTCCATAAGTTTGTGAATTTCTTTTTAATGTAAACTTTTTTTAAATATGCAAGCTTGCATACTCATAATGTCTTTAAAGCAATTGAGCGATTGCTTTTTAAAATTTAAATTCTGATTCAACTTCAAATTCAACCTCACTATAAAAAAAAGAAATTTCATTTACCTACTAAATTTTTGTTATGATGCTTGATGCAGTCAAGAATAAAACAAAGAACGAAAGAAAGAAAACAATCGAATTAACTTTTTGTGTTCTTATTTGTTTCATTTCAGACATTTATTCACATCTTTTTTTTCCCGCTGCTGAACTTTCCTGAGTGAAGACGACTAAGATAAAAAATGTTTTTTTATTTTGAATTCAGTCCATAAATGTCGAATATAAAAAAAAGCATGAAGATTTCTAGAGTGCCGGAAGCCACATTTTCGACATCATTTCAAGTTTATTGACTTTCGACCAGTGATTTGTAATTTTATTTTATTTTTGGGCGAGAAAAGAGAGCGAAAAACATGACATCGAACGACCCTTCATCAATTGAAGCGATAGCTTACCAGGGCTGTGCGCCTAACCGTTTATCTCGCATTGATTTACTTCAACAACAACAGCAACAACAGTACAATTTAGCATCACAGCCTCCATGTGAACATGAGTGCAACTGTATGCATCAGCATCCATTAAGCAACCATCATCATCATAGCAATTTCTCAGCTCCTAATGGAGCGTACGGTCATCATCATAATCATTTCAACCATAATCACTTGAATCAACACATGCATCCAAATAGCTACATAAGCCATCAACAGCAACAGCATCAGGATGGCGTTTTGATCTATAACCACAGCTCAGCAAATAGCGAATGCAATCAAGCGGGTAGTAATAACGATGGTAGTCAAAGCGGATGCAGCAACATGATCCACTACATTCCGACATCAAATCTCAGTGTCGCATCTCAAAGTTTAAACATACCAAACGTTCCATGCGACTGTGTAACTCATGTACAATCACATCAACAGCAACAAACTCATCATCAAAGACAATTGTCAGAGCAGCATAGTTTACAAAGTGGTCGAAGTTCAAGAATTGTTTCCTGTGATGAAAATCCAAGTGGAACGGAAGATGGCAGTGGAATGAGTACATCGGGAATGATAACGACTGTTCGAGCTTCAAAAAGAAATCTGTAAGTTAAATTTTATTTTACAGAAGTTTTAAAGCTTTCCGCAATATGCAAGCACGAAATCTCATTTTGAAAAGTAAATTTCAATCATTAAATTGAAATAAACTGCCCCTGAAGGCTTTGCAAATTTATAATTAACTCTCATGCATAGTTTGACATTTTAGTATGTCTAACTACTGTGAAATAACGATAACTGATTTTGGAAAAGTTATCGTAATGGAATGTCAGAGTAATCAAAAAGTTAGTTAAATTCTTTTTAATAAAATTCAAAAACATTTAAAGAAAATATCATTAAGGTTCAACTTCAACATTTCTGACTGTCGCTTAAAAAAGTTTTTCATCTTAAATTGGATTTATTCACATAATTTTCTTACATTTCTTTTCACCTTCTACTATCACTGTTCCGAAAAAAAGGAACAATTTAGATAATCAGCAAAGATTACGTTCCCCTAAGCGCTCCGGCACGACACCACTCGGTGAAAATGATGTCAAGTCAAATCAAGATGATATTAAGTATTCAAATCGAATGGATATTTACAGTGACAGTAATGAGAACGCTATTAAAATTAACGATGATCCAACATCAGAGGACGATAGACCACCAAGGCTTCCACCACGTCCACCTCCAAGACCTCGCAACACAATCAACAGTGAATCAGGTATGATTTATTCATGATAATTTCTTTTTTCATACCAAAAGATGTCACATTTCTCCGCAAATTGAAAAAGTTTTTTCACTTTTCTTTTATTATCGTTATTATTATTTCATACATTGTGAGTTAGTTTTTTTACGTAGCCTCATCATGGGGATACGAATGATCAATTTGGAGAACAATAAGCATAAAAAAATGAGCAATGTGAATAGGAAAAGTTTTTTTTCTCCCTTTCACTCTAACTCCATTGAAATGAATACGAAATTTATGTTCCTTCATGACTCGTAGTCGTGCTTTGAAAGGTTTCCATCCTCAAACTGCTCGAAACACTAGAAATATTAGCACGTTTTAAGAGAAATATTTTGATGAAGGTGTTGTTATGGAGTTTGCTTACGATATTTAAGGAATTTATGGAATGCTTAAAGTAGATCGAATATCGAAATTTAACTTACCAGGAGATTCAATTTTCAATAAATAACTTCTTGAAATTCTTCGCAAATTTCATCTTCATATTTGGTTTAATCTGAATTCATCGTGATGTCAGCTGTCATCATATTATTTAATTCTAGTTCGTCTGATTTGGTGTATTTAGTTAGCTCATAGAGTATAGGCGAACGTAGAGTAATCATGTCAATTCAATTGATGCTTCCACCAAGGCCAGTAGATCCAAATGTTGATCCATAATTTGGATACGAATTGTAACTTGAATATCGTTTGCTGCTGGGACTAATAAATTTATGTGGTTATGTTCGTATTAAAATTTAAAGCTCATTTGTGCATTTTATGCAGTGATAAAGGTTTAGTAATTGTAATCATTATTATTGATAAAATCATTTCGCTTTAAATTCTATAAACACTTAAACACTTTTCAAAAGCCGATTTTTCCTAACATTTTCTGTTCTAAACTTTGTCTTGCGATTTTTCTTTTTCCGTATAACAACAAGAAAGTTTTGTGTCGCTTCCACTTTCTATTCTTTTCCTTCGCTTTTAACGCTTTGTAGAAAAAAAAGTCTTGAAGAAAAAATATTTCTTGTGATTCTAAAAAGAAAAGAAAAAGAGAAACAAAGCATTGAACGAAGCTTCAAGATTTTTTGAATGTTCTTCACCTTGAAAAAATGTTTAATGATGGAAGGATTTTGTTTTGATATTTTTATGTTTGCGCGAAGATAAAGAAAAAAGCTTTACAGCTTTGCAAAAGTACTAAAAGCTTTTCCTTTAAGTTTTCTCCAAGGCAATCACAACAGCCCTAAGCATTTTAACTCTTACAAAAGCGAGTGAATATTTTTATTTATTAAATACTTTTTAAGACTTAGCTACGGTAGAAAGTTGCTAGAATTTCATTCATTACGACTCGCAACATGTGTGACGACCATTTATTTGAGAATCGAAAGTCTGAACAGTTGAATTGCCATACATTAAGTATGCTAATGATATTAAAAGAAAAAATTAAGATATTTACGTCATCTCTTTGCTATTCTCATAAATTTGCTTCTCTTACATAGTAAACAAATGAAGTTCACATTTACATGTTGATAGAAATTATGTACGTGCATAAAATTCTGTGAAGCTTAAGTTATTTATTCGAATGAATCTTTGTCGCCAATTTCCAGTATCTGCGTTAGGTAATGACCACATAATAAATAATAATGTTTGATCATATGTGCTATTGAGATTTCTTCACTTCCTGCTTTGGTTTGTTTTTGTTGCTTCCAAATATCCTCAATAAGAAGCAATAAAGGAGTTAGCTGGGAAAGATTAAAGCTGACTCAGAACAATTTTCATAGTTGTCGTGACGAGTGAGAGAAACGATGGAGAAAAGCGCTTTCAAAACAAGAAGACATGGAAAAAAATGTTTTTCTTTTTTTTTCATTTCTGATGATTCAAACACTATTTTCACAGAGTAATAGAATCGATATGACAGGCACCAAAAGAGTGTCCATGGCATTTACTGTGAACGATGGAAAGAAGAGTGAAAGAGCGATGGGAATTGATTTGCCACATAAGAACAACGAAAGCAGCTTTTTTATCATCGACTCATCGTTCAAAATGACAAAAATGGAAAATAATAGAAAAAGATTTAATGTCTCTTTCGGGTCGTGTCTGATGGGCTTGTGGACGTTGATGGGAAATCCATTTTGTCATAAAAGTATGCTATCGCAGATCCAGCAAAAGGGAAAAGCCATTAAATTGAGCTTTACGAGTAGAGGCTTTTGTTTTTATCCGTGGGATGTATCATTGAGGCGCCCATCGCTTTCTAGATTTAATTTTAATGAACTGCTCGGCTTTACGATTATCACAAACCTTCTATCCACAATTATGAGGTCATTTCAGTTAAATAAAGGAAAGCTCGTAGACCGTATCGTTCACAGTTTACATCTGTTATCCTGAATAAATGTGAATTTTTGCGGTACCACGAAACAAAATGTGACCAAAAGAATCGGCAGTCAGATTTATCACATTCCATTTATGTTATGTTGTGTAAGCAACGCTCTGACCATTCCCGTTTTTATTTTGTTGCTGATCATAAAATATCATCTCGCGCATGGAGTGTGTATAGCGATTTATGAAGTGTGGCATGAACATAATATTTATCTGATAAATTTGGGACAAAATATTAACTGCGGATGTTCATCAATCGTCAAACCCTTTTCTCGATGTTCGGTATTCTGACTACGAAGGTCAATTTTAATCACATTAACCGACCTTTCTTTTCAAATTTGTAATAAACTAAAATTTGTAGAAATGCAAACAACCAACACATGCAATTGTAAAAGTTCAAATTTTAAACTTGATTATAAAATTTCTCCATCATGCAATGTCGGTTTGGTTGATCAGTTCACATTGTAATTAAGACTTTTTACTTCACATCACATCTTTTTTGACTATGACTAATGAATGTGGAAAACCACATGCAAAACTTGTTCTTTTATTTCATTTGTAATTAAAACATAGTAAAAGAATGACCGAAAACTTAATCCATGTTATTTAAACAAATTAAATATTTTGTTTTATGAATTTGCTTCTTTGAAGAGTTGTTTAAAGTATCATTTCGTATGTTTTTCTAATTTTACAATAACTTAATAATAATGTTTCAAATTTTAAATGAACGGAAATTAAATGTAAGGAAAGAATTTTTATCTATCCAAATACAGTGGAACCTCGATAAGCTCGATAACCTCAATAAGATGACCTTGATAAACTGATATTGTTTTGTCCCCCTTGAATCGAATTTCCATGAAAGATTGCCTCTAAATATAAAATAATATCTGTCCTCCTTGAGATATCAGTTTATCGAGAATCCACTATATATTGTTGACCTAGCTATATGCTGTTAACATATTCGAGAACTTTCTGAAGTTTTTTCTCGGCAAGACAACAAGCAGCTACAGAATTCTTATCACTTTCAATATACTCCAAGGATGCTTCGGCAAGTTTTCCAAACAACAGCTTGTACCTTGATAGTCTCTGAACAGGCAGAAGAATAAAACTTTTAATGCCAAGACGATCTCGTTGAAGCTGTTTAAAAAAAGCTTCATTTTCAATGCATATGCTTTGAGCTCTTTTTAAACATGGAACATAAATAACATATAAATTGAACTTCCTTCTCTCGATTAGATTCACAAAAGTATTTGCAATCTTTCCATAATCATTTCCACATGATCGAAGTTTCGGTAAAAGCTCAAATTTATGGAATTTGTGAATATCTACGATGTTTGAAAAAATATGTTTCTTCTGACCTTTGAGTTTGATTGGCAGATCTTCTTTGTCGTAACGATAGAAATAACTGTTGATTCCATTCTCTAACTGTGTAATGTAATTAATCTCGCTTTCTAATATTTCATGAATTATTTTATCAATTTTACTAAAAAACAAAATTCGAAATGTTTTCATCACATTTGGATAATTAACATTAATTTTGTTATTCACCTTAACTTCGTCACATCTTCAATAATCTTTTCATGTTCACTTGAAAAGGGCGCGGAAACAATTTCTTTCAAAAAACTTTCTTTATTCAAAGTTTTTTGAGTTCTTTCATCTTGGGAATGAGAAAAATTATTCATAAAATCCTTTTCCTGAACTTCCGTTTCACATTTTTCTAATGAGTTTCTTGGAGAAGTCACCTGCGATTTTTCTGTTAAAGAATTTTCAAAATGTTGACTATTTCTTGATACAACTTGACAATTTGTTGATTCTCTTTGAACTTTTTCTCTATCTCGATACCAACTTGGTAGCCTTGAACATTTAATTAAAAGTTTATTTTAATTCTCAAAAATATTAAAAACAACTCACTCAGTTTCTTCCAAAGTATTCGTTAAGCTTAAAATCTTTTCACCATCATCTTCTCTTATTTGTTTTATATGAATCTGATTTTGAAGACTTCTCTCAACTGTTGCTTTTGAATCAGTTCCGAAATTTTTATCAAGATTGTTGATGTCCGACCGCAAAAAAGAACTACGATCAAGATTATTCTTTAAATTACTTGGCGTTTCTTGAAGATTCTTGACACGTGCAGATTCATCAACATAATCTTCAACATTATTCTCAGGAGAAAGTTCATAGTAAAACTTTGACCTCGATAAAGTTTTTCTGTTTAGTCGATTATCATTGTCAGCTGTTTTCATACTCTCATGGTATTGAACACATCTACGTAATTAGATAAGGGACAGACAGTTAGGTTTTTGTATCCAGAAATATTTTTTTATTATCGTTGAAAGATAAGCAAAAAATCGAAAATAGTGACAATAACTTACCTTAATAAGTCCATAGTTGAACTTTTATTTTTAATGTTATATAATGTTTCCTTTGACTCTTGATAACTTTTTCTTGTGTAAGAATCTTGAACTTGAAAATCTTTAAGATGTCTTGCCTTTCGATGACTACTCAAAGACGGATCATGCAAACTTTCCGATCTTAACACAACAATTTTTCTCACCGGTGCTTCAAATTTTTTTGGCTTTTTCTCTAAATATTCACTGTTAAGTTTCTCAAATCTTTTAGAAATGTTTGACACCGTTGAATATTTCAATTTATCTTCTTCACACATTTTCCTTTATTTTTTATTCTCCGACTTTTTTGTTATTAACTACACGACGGTCACAATAAAAATGAACTAAAAATCAAAAAGCAATTATGGCGAAATAAACTTTTTATCTTATCAATCAGAAAATTAAATAAATAAACACAGAGAATTTGTGAATATCGAGGTTAATCTCTTTTGTAGCTTTTTTCAAATGGATTCAATCAACATTGAAAATCTTTTAGTAAAAATTTAAAATAATTGTTATACGACATGAAATTTATATGAAAAAAGTATCAATTTATGCTTACTATAAACATAATTTTTTGAATCAAACATTTTGTTTCATTGCCACAGAAGTTATGATTGAGTTAAGAAGGAATTACAATACTGTCAACGGACTCAAGTTTCCTGACATCTTCGTCTTATTGTAGATGAGAAAAATTGTATTAAGCTCATCAAACTTTCAACATTCAATATTTAGTCCGAATAGCTTTTTCTTAGTCTTAATGATTCATTAGTGACTAAACATCTGAAGTTTCTAATTATTATATTTTATGCTTGAATAAACTTCTTCCCTTCCCTTTCATAATCATTTTCATTATCGACCCAGTAAATAATTGAAGAAGAAAATTCTTATGCTTGTGAGCATATTGAAATTAGTTTGATTTGAACTGGAACAAATATCTGATTACACATTGGCAGACGAGAGAAAATAGGAGCAAATTAGTATTGTGCTTGTATGAACTTTGACAAGAAACTTGAATTTTAGGGGGGATGTTAGCATGATATTGTTGTTATTGTGACCCAGATTAATCTGAAGAATAAATTACTGACGAAGAGATTGAAATTTACGATTGAAATTCTCGCTTAAAGAAAACTTTTTTTTCTTCAATCTTGATTGAGACGACTAATGATTGATTTATCGAGAAGAACATTCAATCATGTTCATGCATCTCTTATTTTTCAAACAAAGCCACTTCATTCAAGAAAAATGGGAAGATGAAAATCAAAACAAAAAAAGAGTCTAACAAAAGCATTCGAAACTATAATGGAGGAAAATGTTTTCGGGGTAGAATATGGAACAATACATTTTGGAGCGCAGTTTCCTTCCGACCAGATAACAGATAAAGTTTACAAACATCCATACAAACTTGTCCATAAATATTTTACCAGAAATATATAATCTCTGTGAGGGAAGCTCTCGAGACTTACCATAAATGAAATGAAAATGAAATTATATCATTGGGAATAAATAGATCAAAAAAAAAATTCTTTTTGTTTTTATTAATAACAAAAATAACAGAAGGAGAAATTTCCAAGAAAATTCTATGAATATTTACTTCTAGTTTTCACTTTCCTTCATGGTTATCAATTTTCTTATGTTATTTCTTCATTTAAAGCTACGAAAAATACATATTTCAGCATAAAAATATTATGTGGAAATTCCAACACTCTATGTATGCCTACATTACCGTCTTTTTATTTTCGTTTACTTATCAACAGTGTTATGTCTGCTTGAAGAGAAACAACGTTACATGTTAAGCTTAGGCACCGCAAAAATGTATCACAGAGTAGTCACAAAACATATAAAAGTATATTTTATGTTTCTTTATTATCCTATTTAGAAATCTCTTTTAGCTTTATGGCATTACACGCTTAAACAAGACACGAAGAAATAATATTTATTTATAACTGTTTCTCTCCCGTCACACAATTTTTTTTTCTTTTAAAAGCCGGGAAAGAATGCCGACAGGGAGGGTGGAAGAAATATTAAATATATGAGTATTGTGATTCAGTGAGAAGGAAATAAGGACAGATATAAACTGAAATAAGTTCTATCCAACAACATCAGGCATCGTTTTATGATGGTGAAGTAAGAACGTATGATGTTCTCACATTTATCCTAGTGAAGAGAATTTTATACCATCAACTACGTTTCAAGCACACATTCTTTGTCATCACCCGTCGTCAAAATGTTCAATTTCACAGACATTTCTGACTTTGATACCACGTAGTTGTGTAGTGAAAAGTTTCTGCTTTAACACAATTCAACTGTGGGAAAAATGAAATAAAAACTGCAAACATTTCAAATGTTATTAAATTGAAATTTATGTGAAACTCTTTTTTCTTCGTTTATTTAAGCGGGAAACCGCCACTTTATTCACCCTTTATGAAAACCAATGATTGCAAACTTTTAATGATTCGAAGCCACAACTTGTAATGAGCTTTTCTCATTCATCTACTGATGCAATTTTCTCGAATGAAAATCGAAAACTCGTTATCATATTTAAGAGAGAAAAGCATAAAAAAATACATATCAGGTGCATTAAAAAGGTTTTAATTAAAAAACCAGAATGAAGATTCCAACGCTCAACAATTCATTACCGGGAGCTTTAATTTCAATTAAAAACTTTGATCCTAAATTGTTCACCTTAACTATACAAGTCAATATTGAAGAACCAATTAATTTTTAATTAACTTCTGAGTGCTAGACGAAGCTTCTCATGCCTATAAATATCGTTTGCATGTTAACTTTAATTAGGTACTTGAAGTACATACAATAACAGTATATAAAGACAGACACTCTTCGATTTTCCATTTTCCATTTCCCATTTTCCTCAATGACTAATGAAAGATTTAATGAAAACAATAATAACAACTTGACATGATGAAATTTGTTTCAGCCACTTGTCTAAAAATGGAAATCTTATTAAACTTTAAGTCTCTCTCTCTCCTTATCTCTTTCTGACAATTATAAATTCAATAGAGAATTAAAACAATGTAAATTTGAATTGAAATGTTTCTCTTTGCGAATGCAAAACATGAATTAAAAAAGAAAAAAAGATGAAATTAACATAAAGCCTTTTTAATGAATGCGGAAACAACAAGGGAGAAAGTTTATATAATTAAAGTAGGAATTCATTTGAAGGGTGGGTGGTGAGAGAGAGCTTCATTACAACACAACAATTTCAGTTACTGGAATGAAAATTAAACGCAAACAACAATAACACCGGAAAAATTATTTTTTGATTAATTTTTCGTTCTCAAGAGCGTTTTAAATCTCTACATAGCTTCATCTAATCAACCCTTAAAACACCATCATTAAGGGATGCGAGTTTTGTATTAAAACGACGTTGGGGTATTTATTAAAGTCTTTTAAATGACAATGATTTATGCGTAATTGCTCAATGGTTATGAATAAATTATTTATCGTATATGAAAGCGTGGTTTCCTCGACACTTGGTCTTTCAAGTTGCTTTCAATTTCAATTGCCTACCTTGCGTTAGCTTCAACGATGGCAAAATGAAAAATTTAATGATTTTGTCTGATGTAAAATCTATGAGGCTTCATATTCGGTGAAATTTGAATATCAAAAGGAATATAAATGCTCTCGGTTGCTGGTCTACACGCTAAACTCAACGAATGATTCAAAGCAAACATTTTCAGCCCTTCTTCACATTTGAAAATTGAGCGTGGAGATCACCATAGTAACATGAGGAAATGAAAAACTTCATTAAAATTCAGCCTTTCCGTTGTGATTGTTTGATGTTTGATTGATGCTGTAATCAATATTGTGGAAACATGAAGAAAAAATTTCTTATAACTTTCCATGAAATATTCATAATTCTAAACTCATTTATGGAGGCAGATAAAGAGAAAATGAAAACATCGAATAAAATGAAAATCGAAAAGGTCCAATAAGTTGGAAGTTATCGAAAGGATTGCGGATGGAACCTTTTTTCCATACATTCTGATAAGAAAGCTTGCTAACTCCAAAGCAGCCTAAAACATTCCGACAGAGAAAAAAAGAGAAAAATGTGTGATGATGGCATCACGAGAAAAGTATTTTTTTGCGATTTGTTATCCATCAAAAATTGACGTAATGTTGATTCCATTTTACTTCGCCCTTTTCAATCAGTAATTACGCAATATCAAACCCCAGCATGAATTTCCTTTCTCATTTCAATTCCATTTGCTAAATCACTTTCGATTCGCTTCTCTCGCTGCTAAATTAATCGTAAAATTCAATTTTCGTACCTTTTGTGTTCGCGTTCTCCTTCTACCTTCTTGTCGGTGATTTTATGCATGATTTGACTTCAGAGTACCCTCAGCATCTTGTAAGGATCTTGAAAAATGTATTATTAAAAGTGAATTTCTCAATAAGAAAAATTCTCGACAGCTTCACTAAAAGAAAACAAGAAAATGTCATTCTGGCTACTCTCAATTGATATCTTCATTAAAACATCAAACACATTAAATATTAACATCTATAAAAGACGCAGAGAATGTTTCTCATGTAAAAGATAGAGATTTTCATCTTTTAAGGTATGATGAAGTCAAAAGATATTTTTTATGATGTTTCGTCCTTTCCTTTTCTCTCCTTTCCCTTTCATATCATCAAAATACTGAATTAAGAGTTTGATGGTACACACGCATGCTGTTCGAAGAAGGGAAGACGGAAATTCTCAGCGACATGATACAAATAATTTAATGTCTTTGAACAGACAAAAGCGTGATGTGTAAGAAAAAGGAGAAATTATTGTATACATAAAAGTTGATAAATGCTTATCTAAGTCCACCCTCGAGACTGAAGCTTTCTCATCGTTCAATTCGAAGAAGATTTTCCTCCTCTCACAAGAAATGTAACGTTCATGTTTTATTTATCCGCTCTTCGTCTATGATATTAAGCTGAGATTTGTCGAATACAATATGATGTCTTCATGGAGTCATCTTTGCTACTCATCACATGACAACAAGACAAACATGAAGGAAGATTGTGTTGGGATGTGGCGGTAATTAGGTGATGATATGTGGAACGGATGAAGAAGAAAGCGACTATCTAATCTTTAATGTGTACACATAATCCTCTTCCATCAGTTCTATGTTCTCCCTCAAGTCAGTCATGAGAGAAAGAAAGCAAAAAAAATGAGCAGTCTCAGAAAGATTTTCTTTAGTAGAACTCTTGAAGAATTGCGAAGTCTTTTAATTCCACCAGGTTGAGTGGCAGACAAATACTGAAGATAGAAGCAGATTAAAGTCTTAATGGCAGATCAAAATTGCAACAGAATTCCTTTAATAAGTTTTAGCTGATAAAACGTTCAGCTTTCTCTCACGTAACAAAAAAAAATAAAAATAAAATACAAGAAAGAAATAAAAATCATGCTGTCAGATAAATTTAAATTTCCCTTGTCAAGTTTACGAGCGCATTAAAAGAAAATTTCTTCATTTCCCTGAACCCACATTAAAAAATAAATCACACAAATGACCGTGAACTAGAAAAGCATAAGAGATGATGTCAAACTAGGCCAAAAATATTTCCCTCTCCTGCTATAAGAGCATCTCAAAAATTCATTATTTGAATTTCCCTCTCTAGTCTAATGAAGGTGCTTTATCGTCATGTACGTTATCCTTCCTTGACTTTCCATTTTCGAAAAGAATTTCGGGACTGTAAGGCCTAGAGTAATTTGTAACTCTGATACATTTATAATCTCTCGCTCTGTTCTACTTCCTTCTCTGTACGTTGTACCAAAAATAATAAAAAAAAGGCCGACAAACAAAAAGCTGTGCACATGAAACGAGCCTGGGATAAATTTATCTGATGATTTATTAACCTATAATAAAAGTGTCAAAATAATAGTCTAATCTAAAATAAATTTCCCAATTTGCTGCTCTACATACGTACACGTTCTGCTCCCTTTTTACTTTTTTGTGTACACCTTTTGACTCGTTTATTTGTTTTGCTGAATGTTTTTGCTTTATTGAAAGAGGTTTGAAGTTGGATAGAAAAAGATACAAAGGCTCAGGTGTTAAGCATCATAGACAAATTTGCCAGCTCTTGAAATCCTTGATGTAATATAATTTTCTCTTTGTTTTTGCTTTTTCTTTACAATGTTTTTTATTTTTTATTTAGTTAGAGAAGAACTTCAAACACTTTTTGTGCTCGTACTTAAGAAACATGAAACTAATGAGATTTCTTCTTCTTATCCGTCTCTTTTATTCCTGCTTAAGATTAAGTAACAGAGTTTCCCAAGAAATTTTCTTTACTAAGTAAACAATGAAAAAAAACCGTCGTAACAACTTTAACAACAAGAACAACAAAGATGAGATTCGCTGAAGAATAATGTCGTCTTTCTTATCTTTTCAAAGTGAAACTTCCTACCCGAGAGCATTTAAAGTAAATTATTTAAAGTTTATCTTACTGTAAAGCTTGAGTAAGGAAACTGAAATGGTTTCGCAGACACCAAAAGATAGGAGTTTAAATCCATTACCTTTTATAATTTGCCATAAAGCCACAGAAATGGGAATCTGAACAGCTAAGCTAACGTAAATTACCTTTCCACCTTCCTTGCAGCTACATACTTACATGGCGTGGTGAAAACTACAAAACTATTTCACATACAACAGTTCTAATAAACTCTCTTTCTTTCTTTTTCGACTTATTTCATCCTTAAGCCTTTCCCACCCCCCTCAAAAACAAAAGGAATCGTTAAACTAAGTGAACTTATAGACTCTTCTTATAGTTATGTAGCTTTTCATGAATATCCTAGGAAACTAAGCGTATTGTGCAAACAAAGAGAAAGAAGCCTTCTTAAAAGCTACGAATAAGTTTTAGGAAAAGTTTTCTTTTCGATTGCTGTTAAGGTTTTTATTTGCTGTAGAGTTGTTCAAACTAACAGATAGTTTAGCTTTTCTCTTACATCTGACAACTTCACGGTGAATTGAGTAGCACTCCAATTAATTTAAATAATTGTTTTCAAGAAATATCTAATTTAATCTTTGGATGTTAAGTTTTCTTTTGAGTTTTAATTGCTAATTAAAAGTTTCTTAAGGAGGAATGTGGCAGACGAAGAAAAAAATATTATTTTAAATTTGAGTTATGTTAATGTTGTTACGTAGCAACATTTTTAATTAAATGCGGTCTATCGCATTGCTTTTTGATGTAGCACTTTGTAAACAATTATTATGATTTACTTGGTGAAAGCAAATTTATTCTATTTCAATTTTTAAATGATATTTTAAAGTAATCAAGGAAACGTTACATGAACATTTCACCTTTCATTCGAATGAGAGAAATTGATGACTTTCTATGTGTTCAGTCAACAATAACGCCTGCTTTATTACGTCTTTCATTTAGTAATGTGGTATCCATGATGACTACACGTTTTATTTTAAATATACTTGAAAACCTTTCCAAACTGAACAAAATATTTACCAAATTTTTATGATTCGCAAGCGCAATAGCCAAACAATCGCACCTTTATGTGATAATAAAATTATCACATCCTTTTTCTCCAAACGTACAGTTAATGAGAAATGATGAAGCAACATTTTCGCTATAAAAGCTTCCCCCTTTTCAGTTTCACTTGATAATCCTGATTAATACGCTCTCCATTTACAATACGTTGGATTGAATGGATTTTCCATTATCCATATCTATTTATGGTTAAAAACTATGAGAGTAAAGCTTCTATTGTATTCTGTTATCATTACTCGAAATGTAAATAGAGTGAAATTCACATTTTTCTAAATAAAGCTATGGTTGGTTACTGTCGATGTTGGTGGGAGAAAAAGCAACATAAAAAGTGCTTCGCTATCTAAACCATGTGAAATAAAGGGTGGACATTTAAAAATTTTCCATTATTGAATCATAGCTGGAGGATTAAAATAGTTGTCAGTTTCAGATGTTAATTTATTATGAT